ACATAAAATAATACACATATGTGATAAAGTAATGTAAACTCAGTATTGTTTAAGCCTCAGAGACCTTTTCCACATAACCTTATTCTGGGGTGGATTTCCCAGATGGAATTACGCGCCTGTGTGCTGTGTGCTGCACGTGAAGGGAGCCTCATGCAGCTTTGCCAGTTTATGGACATATGCAAAAGATGGCCTCAAAGAAAAAGCTTTAGGGAAAGGTCTTCTAAAAATCTGAGTTTTGTATTTGACCCATGTCATAGGCACACGGTGACAAGGAAGTGTAATACATAACGCTAAAAGTAACATCCCAAACTTTGTGAGGTCGTGGTTCTGGGGAAAAAGAATAGATAAAGGCATCATGGCAAAGCATTGTGGAAAAAAATTCCCTTTATTTTTCAAATATGCAAACTATCTTTATTAATACTGAAACTCACAGCATGAAGAAAAAGCCCTTGGGAATTAACATAGTCAGACTGCCAGAACGCTACGAACACGCTGCACAGCACTGAGTTCCAGTTGTCTCTTTCTTCCTCGGTCAGAGCATAAGAAGGACATTTGATTTCAGGGCAGTTTTCATGGACAGATCTGACTCCTGAAACAATGTGCACGTATCACATACATGATGTGACACGTGGCCTGTCAGCTGAAAATCCATATTCTTCATGGATTTTCTCTTTTATTTTGAAGAGATGTGTCCTAGTCCCAGAGCTCCTCAGGTACGTATGTGTGCATCGAGATAGCTCTCTGTTTCATCCCAAATGTTGCCCATCTAATCATTAGGAATAAATCTGTTTGCAAACAGGAGAAAGTCGGAAAGCTCCTGCATGTAGAAGCAGCAGGACTGCAGTAAAGACTGCATAAACTCTCAAATATCTGATAATTTAAAAAGACACTTGATAAAGTGATTTAATACTTTCAGTTATCCACTTTTGAAGGCTGAGTTGGCACAAGGTCAGTGCCGGGTTTGGAAGGAGTACAAACACTTTCGTATGCCTGGCTGAGCCCCTAAAGGCTGCCTGCCTGCCAAGTCAGACGCAGCGGGGACGTGGGTCCTTGGGAGGTGCACAGGGAAGTCGAAGACGAAGCAGAGAATTTTCTCCATACATTGAGAAGTTCTTGTTGCGTCACCAGCAGCTACCACTCAAGGTCAGCGTGCATTGAGCTTCTTCCTGGTCAACCTTGCTTTGGAAGACTCATGACTGGAATGAAGTAAAATAGCCTCTGTTGTTTGAAGGATGGATTAGTTGGGTAAAGCAAGGTGGTCATCGAAAGGAAGTATGCAGCTTTACAGAGTGAGAGTTTAGTATTGCCTTTCCTTCTTGGATTAGCAGCAAAAAACCCAACTCTGTGTGTAAGTATGTTTGTACACACGCACCCCTTTTGTGTACGTAGAGAGAGAGGTGTATACACATATATATGCAAATTCCTGGAAATACTTTACTGTTCGGGTACTGTAAACAGATAGATAATCCCAATCATAAACTGGTTAACAACATGGGTAAACACCAGAGCTAAAAACTGTCAGCTGAATTCTGAAACTCCCCATGGGACACTGGGTTGCAGTCTTTGAAAATGAGGCCTCTACTTGTTTGTGCTCCATTAATCTTGTGTCAGAAGCAGGAAATCACAAATGGCAAGGCTGGGAGTACGCTACTTCGTGGGAACATCTGAGGTGATGCTGATGCGATGTGGTACAGAGAGCCCCTTTTGTGATACATTTACATATCCACTAACAGCAACTGCAAACAGGTTAGCCTCCTGCTTAATTTTATTAAGGTATCATTCGGATCCTTCCAGACAGCTTTTAAAAATGATCGGGCTGGAAGGACCCTTTGCAATATCTCTAAACCAGAAAGCACGTGCATATATTACAAAGCCAGAAGGGACCCTTGTGATCATCCAGTTCGACTCGCTGTATAACCCAAGCCATACGTCTTCCCAGAATTCATTCCCAGTTGAGCTAGAGTCCAATCCAGCGATCTTTTCTTCCAGTTCAACTGTCAGTTTGCCCTTTGTATACAGGAAGTCTCTTCAGGATTAGGATTCAATGCTTTCTTGAAAAGTTGGACAAATAGTCTGGAACAGAAAAAGAAAAGAAAAGCAAGATGCAGTTCAATATGGACAAATATAAAATAACGTACTTAGGTAACAATAAACAACTGCATGAACACAGGCTGGGAAATTACTAGCTAGGCAGCAGTTCTGCTGAAAATGATGTAGGAATGATCACGTATTACCACTGGAGTGGAGTCAGTGCTATCATGCTGTTGTGAAAAAACAAAGCACCTTACTGGATTTTGTAAGCAGGTCTGTTCTTCATGCAGGTTTAGACTCATCTCAGCCGAGCTGTGTCAATGATAAGCTAGTGCTGCCTTAGCCCACTAGAGATACAAGCTAATGCAGCGTATCTTAAAACCCTTTGATTAAGATCCAGTCTTTAGATACAGCCATCTCATCAAAGTAAGAGTCTAACCTCACTAAGATTTAAGATAAGATGAACAGACTTGAATTTTCTGTACGTATGCATCACGGACAGTTATCCAGATCAGCTGATGCATAGCATGCTGTTAAACTACAGCAGCTTGACTCTAAGATCGAAATCTTAACGTACATGAAATATTCTTTTCTCAGCGCTCAGCACTAATCAATCTTTGGTTGGAATGTTGTGCCAAATTTTAGTCACTCCACTTTAAGAAAGATGTGGGACAGCAAGGAAAAAGTCCAGAGGAGAGGAAGGTGAATGATTATTACCTGTGAGAGTATACTGGGTCTGTTTAGTCTAGAAAGGAGAAGAGGAGACATTATAATAGTATTCATACAAGATGAAAAAATGCTGCAGAGGAGGATAACAATTTATTATCCTGCTCACTTGCCCCCTGCTACAGGAGATCACTTGGCAGAATAAGCGACCTGCCTCCCACAGTCAGGAAACAGCCTGCTGCCTGAGGGTCTGGGGCCAGCTATACCAACTGGAGCTACAATACACTCCTGTTCACCCTCCTCTGTCGTCCAATTTTGTGTGAAAGAGACGCATTTGGCCATTTATCTCCGATTCCCAACAACAATCCAGCCCATAAAAATAGAATACTCTGCCTACAGGATGTGGAATGTGGCAGCACCAATATCTAATCCTGCAGTTCCTGAAGGACCAAAGAAAGCCTCAGGATCTGGCACTGGACATCTCAAGAAACGTGTTTCAGGAAGCTGTGTTAGTGCTGGGGAGCTAAGCATGGGCACTTGTGCAGTTGTGGTTGGCAAAGCCTCTCAGGTCTTCCTTCCCGAGGTCTGCTTAGGAGCACCACTGAGAGTATGAAGAGGGCTTCTGGATGAAAGAGATCAGTGTGGAAAGCCAGGGTAGAGGGGTTTAAGTGAAATACTGGGTCTGGAATAATGAACAGACCTCAAGTAAAAGCTGCCCAGTTTAGGTAGTTCAGCTGTGCAAGAGGAGGCTGCTTGCTGCTGCTCTGGGCTTAGCCACCTCTCAGGCAGGACAGCTACACTGTAGAAGTCCCAAAACTGTGGGTCCTTTCCATCTTCCTGGTTGTGTCTAGACATCCATTTTCTGGATTTTCATGGACCTGGATATTATGGAGCGAGCCCTGCTGGTCCTGTTCGCTGAAGTGAGAGATACAGGCTGTGTTCCTGGCTGTGCCAGGGAAGAGGGATAGAGCATGGATGAAGCAGGTCCCTGCTTCTTGCTTGAGCCTCTGAGATATTCTGGATGTTGTGTAGGCTTACGTCCAAGCGTGTTCAACAGAAGCTGAGCTCCACTTGGTAGGAACTGAGAAATTTATCCTGAATTTATAAGTTTGGGGTCTGGCAAACTTGTACAAGTGCTGGAAGTGCTTGGGTACTGCCTATAAAAGATTAGGAGCTGTAGAAAGACAGAGATATTTTGAAGCACATTCTAGAGCAATGTGAGCAAAGGGAAGTCACTTCTGAAAACAGCCAAAGATGAGCAAAGGAACAGTTTCCTTAGGAGTCTTATGACGAGGAGTGAAACTGTTTTCTGAGTGCATCTGGGGTGGCAGGGAGTCATTCCTGGAATGGAGGTACCACCCAGCCGCTCAGGTGGGCAAACTGGTCTTAAACCTTGTATTTCCCCTTCTGGTTTCACCAAGAGGAGAACAGCTTGCTAAAGAGAAATGAAGTGAACTGGTGTTTGGCAGAGCTTGGTAGAGGGGAGAGCTGTTTCAGAGACTGGATAATAGATACAATAAATTCTTTAATTGTTCACTGCTTTCACAATCCTTTAGCAGCTTCCACTAATGAAAAGCCTGCTGACCCCCATCTGTGCTACCAGCCAGCACAGTAAGGCCTGTCCCTGCTCTATGGTCCCACATTCCTTCAGGAGCTGGGTGACTCTAGTATCTACAGCCAGAAGGGTTGCCGGAGGAGTGAGAAGCATCATCCACATATCTGTGCAAACACCAGGACTGTGAGCAAGGAGGACACTGCCTTTATCATAAACTCTCTTGCCAGTGAAGGGCTGAACAAGAGTGCTGGGGCTCTCCAGCGATCTCCAAATGGCCAAAACTAACGGCTTTACGTGCTTGCGGGAAGCTGCAGACCAAAGGAAGGCTTTGCAGTTGGATCCTGTGGGGTGGAGTCATCGTGGCAGCCTTCTGGTGCCAGTCCATAGGTGGTGATGTCCCCGACCCACCTCGCCACTTAGCTGTGCTCATACTTCAGCTCAGAAACGAAGGAGCTCCTAGTCCAGCTCATTCACTGAGTCTTCTTCACTCAGGTCTAACTCTTGGGCCCCATAAGAACGACTAAATCAGGCTTTTGTGGAATAAAACTTTCTTTGCAGTTTAATTTTCTTCTTTTTAATGCCAGCCAGAAAGAGATGGGGGAGAAATGGGATCAGGGAAGGCTGCATATGGCAGAGGGGGGAGAAAAGTGTGCATCTTGGAGAATGGATCTTTCTCTGTCCTCCGCTATGGACTTCTGTTTCAAGTCTTGGCTTTTTAGAGCATTAATCTGCACTCTGCTGCCCGATTTCACAGTGCTGTCTCACTCCTGGGGTGCCTGAGGGTGTTGGTCTGTGGGCAAACCAGGCGGGAGAGCTGTTCTTTCTCCTCTATCACAGAATTACCGAGTTCGCAGTCCTGCGCATCCAGCTCGTGCCGGGAGAGATGCTCCACAATGCCAGCCCCCAGAGAATCCCCCAGGACATTGGTGGTCGTTCTAAGGCGGTCCCTGAAAAACCAGAGATAAAAACAAAACATAGCTTCTTAGTAACAGCTAAGGGGATGAAGACTATTTCAAGAAATATGTTAAATGACGCTTTTTCTACTTTTCAGGTCACTCTAAAAAATGACACTTCAGCATTGACAGGAAAATGACTCCCAGAGAGCCTTCCTCAGTTGATAGCCTGTGCACAGGCTTCACACTCAGTCCCGCTCTCTTGCATTCCCAGTTTCTCATTGAAAAGTTTTAGACTTGCCACAAAACAAGGGAAACGTAATTGTGGTTCCACATGGACAGTTTCCTTTCCAAAGGGCTGCTAAGGCCTTTCTGCAGACTCAAATAACCTCGCCACACCTGTTACACTTGAGTTGCATTTTGTTTTACAAAAAGTGCAGAAATTCTGGTGCAAACCTCTGACTTCGCGCCGCTGCGGAGCCACTTTTCTGCAGCACGGACGGTACACACTAGGACAAGGCACCAGATTGTGGGACATGGCAAATCTAAACCGCCCTTTGCGATGAGACATTCTCCACAACCACAGCTGTATGTAAGAGCTGAAGCCATCGCCAGTCCAGCAACCCACCTTATGCTTCCGCGGCAACAACAGGTAAGACTTTCGGTAGCTGACTGAAACCAACGTTTCTGGGATAGGACAAGAGGTAACCTGGCATCTTAGGAGGCAGGGCCTTTTTCAGCCAAGTCTGTTCCTACACACAGTTCACAAGAGAAGTGGAAGCGTTGGGCAAGACTCTGTTTCCAACTGCTCAGCCATGGCTAGGAACAGACTTTGGCTCCTTTGGCTACAAACCAGCAATACAAGGTACAGAAGAACAAAGGAAACACTGACAGTGTGTCCCTGAGTCAGGATCTGGTTGTGTTTGAGAAGACTGAGAGCGTGAGGACTGTGCACAAATGCATTCTTCAGTCTAGTCCCTAAGAGCACTCCTGTGAAATCACCTGTCCCAAGGTTTAAAAGGGAAAGAAAGGTGAAATGGAGCAATGCAGCTGACTAGCTGCACCCATCTAAACACTCCTCAACTTTGTACAACCCAGTTTCATCCCACGTTCCATGTTTGGTAGTGCACAACTGTCACTCTACAGTGTGAATTTGCTTATTAATGGCACAACCTGTCCTTATTGGTCTGGAGACAGATAGTTTCTGGGTGCCTTTTAAGATAAAGCAAACTAAGGACATACTGCTTGGTGGCCAGGACGATCTGCAAGTCACCTCTGTTGTCACTTCACATGGTGCGGACTCCAGCTTGGGCAGAGAGGGCTACCGTGCAAAGGTCTCATGGATACAGGTGTGTTTTAAGTTTAATGATCCAGGTTACTGAGACCGCTTGTAGCAGAGACATTGGGAGTGCAGACAAATTCTGTAAGCACTGGCAGGGAGCGCAGACCAGTGCCTGCTGCTGAGCAGAGGACTTACAGAAACCAGTCCACAGCGATGATCAGCGTAATGTCTTCGGTCGGCAGCCCCACCGATGTCAGCACTATAACCATAGTCACCAGTCCTGCCTGGGGAATCCCTGCGGCTCCGATGCCGTGGCCGTGATGCTGGAGGGAACAGGAGAGCACAGCTATCAGCAAAGGGAAGAAAAGAGGTAGTCACATTTGCAAAAATGTCAGGAAGTAGCTCAAACTCATCATTTACAAAACATCTTGGCAGCCTTTCTGCCCCGGTCACCAAGCAGGACGGTGACAGATGGGACATCACCACAGCAGCCAGGCTCCCCCTCCCAGGCACCCATCCGTAACAGACTGCACACTGCCACGCCAGCTAAGGGATGGCCCAGACCTGGAAATTCCATAAGGGCTCAAGTGGAGCCTCAAAGACATGGTGCCCAAATCAGATGTGCTTCTACACCTGGAGGTGTAGTCCACCCTCCTTTTCCATACTTTTTTTTCCTCACTGTATCTTCTGAGCAAAAGAAGAGCCTGACCACACCTCAGATAAGCCAAGAAACGTGAAGCCCTTCCTGTAGCCCCATAATTCTTTCAAAAATCACCTTATTGTGATGATCTGCCCGAAGTCAAGTTCATAGTTGTTGACCTGTGCAATGAAGATGGCTGCAAGGGCCTCGTACAGAGCAGTGCCATCCATGTTAATTGTAGCTCCCACAGGCAGAACAAACCTCGTGATGCGCCTGTCCACACCATTGTTTTCTTCCAGGCACCTGAAGGTGATGGGCAGGGTCGCTGAGCTGAAAGGAATTTACAGAAGAACATGAACTGGGTATATGCTGGCTTTGGAAGAGGGACTAAGCCTCTGCCTGGTTTATGACCTTACCCACCTGCTTTTTCACCCTGCCATGTGAGCCAGAGGCCAGAAGCTGCTAGGAGAAAGAACAGTCTAAGCAAGGCTTCCTCAGATATGGTGCACGCTGCAGTTGCACATTCAGGCATGGCTTTCCTCAAGGGGCTGGGAGAGGGGCTGTGTAGCCTTGAGGCTGGTGATGCTGGTATAACACCAAAAGAAGGTGATGCTGGAGGATTCAGGGTATATAGGACAGAGTCTCAAGGCCAAAACTCCTTTTCCAGCTATGAAAAATAACCTTGAGCCCTTTCTCACCCCCTCAGTGCGTAAGACAAGAACGACCCATGTGTGAGAATATATCTTGCAGAGAAAGCCAAGAATTGTTTCTGAAAGAGAACACGAGCAGGAGAAACGCAGTGTGTTTCAGTGTGAGAACACACGTGGGAGACACTGTCACGTGCTTGCCAGGAACTGAGCGTAGCAAGAAACACGGCACTTCGTGACACAACAGCTACCTGCAGTCCCTTGCTTTGGCCGTGTTGCACGGCAGTGTGAACCACTGAACGTACGGGTGCTCGTGCCTCTGCCCGGGGCTCCTGGGAGGGAGTTTGGGGCCAGCCGCATGCAGTGTGTGTGCCTGGGAGACAGGAACGCGCAGCTGTGAGCAAGTACACCCGTGTGAGAGGTACCTGCGTGGGGAATAACGCTGCAGTTCAGTGGGATTTGATGTTTGTCCCGAGTTCAGCATTTTGGTGCTGCAAGCAGAGTCACCACCATGTCTGGTAAGTAGAAATATGGGTCATGCACTGATGGTTAGAGATGGCCACATGATTAGGGCTCTTGAGCAGGGGAGTGGGAATCTTCTCACTCTCAAATGAGCGTGGCTGGACCAGTGCAAAAAGCTGTTAGTGCTAGAAACTGTGAGACCGCAGTGCTGCACTGAGGGCAATGGAGCACTGAGAAGCAGCCCCAGAGTATCCACACCAGCCCCAACCCTACTCCTATGTAGCCATCATACCTTGAGGACGTGCCCAGGGCTGTGATGAGAGCCTGCAGAAGCCCTGCCATGAAAACCCAGGGGTTTCTGTGAGTGACGATGAAGTAGAGCAGTGGCAGAATGCAGAGGGCATGAATGAGGAGCCCGACGATGACGGTGAGCGTGTACATCCCCAGCTGGCCTCCCATCACTGCTAGGTCATCCATCTCCAGGATTTTGCCAGCAATTAAAAACATGATCCCAACTGGAGCATACCTGCAGCAGAAACACAAGGCCAGTGCTGAGAATTGGCACCCACACTTTCACATCAGCTTTAATCCATGCTGTCTGGACAAACCCCAGCAAGCCAGCTCACCAGAAGTGCTCACTGAGCCTCATTGCTGGATGACACTGCCGGTTTCTTTTCCGGAAACCTGGAGTCAGCTGAGACTCGTTCACCATATGATCAAAACCCAGCACTTGTTGCGTGTCGGGGACCCCAGCACTCTGTTGTGTGCACAGCTTGGGCACTGGTGGAGGTTTCCTCCTCCTTCTGGGTTCCCTACAAGTCTCCAGAACACTCCTTGTAGAATTGGTAGGGGAGGTTATGGATAGCAGCCTTCAGAGTCCCTTCCTTTCCTAACAGAGCTTGGGCTGAGGTTTTTTTTTTTTAGTGAGAGGCACAAGAAAGTACAGGAGAAACAGGGAATTGGGGAGTAAAAGCAACAGTGTCCTATAGGCTCTGGGATATCAGCCTTGCTATCTTCAGACGTTCACATTTAGGGAACAGGAACGTATAGGGAATCCATATCTGGTGTAGCAGGGACTGGGCACACCAACGCCTGTGAAAGCAGCCATGGCTTATATAAAACCCCATTTTGAGCTACACTGCTACCCTTTCCAGTCCTTGTGGCTTTTTTACCCCCTCCATAACAATGCATCTCATGAGCAGCAGTGAGGCTCCACAGAGAGGAAGCCATGACACAGACACGGAGAATATCATGGGCACTAAACTAAACACGGACAAATAACTGGACCAAAGAAAATCCCACCTCCACAGCCACACCTCCTAGGGCTTGGCCTCTGCAGCTCAAGAGCTCACATGCAATTCATGCACAAGGCTCAGAGGTCCACATGCCAAACTCCAACTTAGCCTGGGAGGTTTGGAAAAGTTTCAGGAAAGGATTTCACAAATATTTCATTTCCTCTGACCTTCTGCTTAGAAGACATTCTTGGCTGCAGCTAGTGACCAGATCTCCCCAGGAAAAACAAGCTCCTGGGAGATGCTCTGCAGACTGTGGCTTCAGGAAGGAGTGCTAGGTTGCAGCTGACAGTCCTGCCTCCTGTGCCAGCAGGATTTGTAAGTCAGGAGGTCTCTCCAGACACTACCTACTGCGTGGAACCAACGTGCTATGCATCCACACCCTGCTTTCTTCACTGCAAGGGGGAGCTGAAGGAGGGGGTGTTGAAGGCACCTTGAGATTGTCTCTGGGAGTAGCGTGCAGGTCTACTTGTTCCACTGCGCCCATGCTGTCCCTTCTGTGCCCTCAGGCAACTTTTATCTCTTCTTAGGAAAGCAAAGCCCCAAGTTCTGGCTCATCCATGGAGGAAGAGATCCCAGAGGGGCTGGGGCTCCCCAGTGCTCTACTGCGAGCTCAGGGTTGTTCTTCCCCTTTGCGTCTTTCTGCGTAAGGCCTGTCCCGCTGTGCCCAGGATGTTGCTCTGAGATAAAAGGCTGTGACTACAAGACCAGGGAATGGAAGCCAGAGTGATCTAACATGGGAGAGGGTGCAGGACGGACAGATCCCCTCCCTGTCAGACACTTCCATGTATTCTGCCAGCCCCGCGTTTCTCCTGTCTCGCGGTACCTACCGCAAACTCCTGTTCAGACCCTGACTAAGAGATCTTAGAGGATACAGAGGATGAAGAGCTTAAAATAACAAGATTTGGTAAAATCCTGCCTTCTAGAGAAAACTCGTCTCAGCAATGCTTTGCTTATCTGGACTATGTAGCACACGCAGCCTTACACAGAAAGCAACAAGCAGCTGAGCTCTATAGGAGCTGGGATCTGGGGGACCTCAAATTAAAAGGCAGCAACTCTGAGTTGGCCTTGCCAATCCCACTCAGCTCTCAGAGCTAATGCATACGGGTGCCACCCTGAGTAGCTGGAAAGTGGTGATAGGTTATTGCGACTTGCAGCTAAGTCAGACTCCTGGAACATAGCTGGAAGGAAAGCTCTTGGTGGGAAAGCCTCACACCCTACCCCTGCTGGTAAGGCTAAGAGATCTTCCACTCCAGCTCTCTGGTCTTCCAAGGATGTTTCCAGCAGCCTCAAGGAAAGCAAGTCCTGGTGTACCTGATATTTCTAAGGTAAAAACAAAAAACAGGAAATGAAATGTGAACAAATATCCCATCCAGACTTTTCCCTTCAGCCTGATGGAGCCAAAGGAGAGCTGTGCCCATCTGTTTTTCCTATGCATGTCATCCTTAAATCTACCCCACTTCTCATCAGGTCAGCGGAAACTGCACCTGCAGACCTCCTGCTCCAACCGGCCGTGCTCCTCACCAGATGATAATGGCCACCAGCCTCATGATGGCTTCGTTGAGGCAGTTAAAGAACTCCCGCAGGGCCCGTCCCTTCTGCTTCATGCTGCCGATCACCAAACCGAAGCACATGGAGAACACTACCAGCCCCAGCGCGTTCACCCCATTGGCTGAGCCCGGGATGGGAATGACTTCTTCAAAGGTCAGCACCTCGGAGACGGTCCCCAGGGCATGAGTGATGTTCTCCAGGATGCCAGTGAAGTTCTCAGGCACAGGGATCTGAGTAGTTGTCACACCTGCTGTGACATTGCTGCTGTGGAGGACGGTTCTGGTGAAGACCCTGGTGCTGTACTGCGTCTTGTACTGAAAAGACACAGATGGTCAGATGCACTCACAGGTCCTGCTTCAGAAGCTCAGGACAACATGCTAGGCTCTTTCCTAAAGAATGGAGAGTACTGCAAGTTCACTGCTGACCTGTGTGGGAAACGTGCCTTGCCTATTCTCAAGCTCCCTAGCTTAGTACTTTCATCACAAAGTTCATAGGACTGAAGGTGAAAAGAGACCATTGGAGCATCTCATATCCCTAGGACCAAGATAAAGGCTTCTCTGCTAACTCTTTACACTGCTTCCAAGTGCAACAGCACTACAGAAGAGACAAATCCTTGGAGAATCTGCTCTCCTTTCACTGCCAGTCCAAGCCCACTACGCAAGACCACAGAAAGCCTTCTTGACTCTGAGTGTGGGGTGGGACGGAGGTTGAAGCCCCCATCTTCAGACAGCTTGAAAAGCTTGCATGGGGGATGCTATAATACAGACTAATGGCTGCAGTGCCTCCTGGAGCAGTCAGACTTGGAGAAATGTGAAGGCAGTACAAAGCAGCTGCTATTCCATCCCTCAGAGAAGTAGGCTGGGCCATGGTCTAGGGCACAGGGCACAAAGGGAAGTGCTAGACCAGGTGGGATTCCATACCTGTTTGAAGCAGGCTTCTACCAGGTTGGGCGGGAACATATTCCTGCAGTAGATAAAACAAAGAAAGAGTTATTGTCCTGTTTGCCTGGCAGGAAAACATGGGCTTCCTGGCCCACACCTCTGCCCTGGAGCACTGTCTCAGGCCACAGCTCTCACAACACCAGCTCAGCCTACAGAGCAGATGAGCCCTTTCAGACTGACTGACAGAAGATGGGAATGTGCTGATCTGAAGCTAGGCACCCTCCTGCATCTTTTCAGACTCCCACTGCAGGTTGTATTTCATGTGTGAGGAAAGAGACTACACAGATACAGCATTGGGATATGGGTCCATTGTAAAAGCGTCACCAAACCCAACTGAACCTTGAAACAATACTGTATTACAATTTTTAATGTTTTTAACACGCTGTCTTGCTCTCAGCCTCATCTACAGCTGCCATTTGAGCTCTCTGTTACCTTGTACCTCAGAAACATAGCTTGACCCCACTTGAGGTGGTACAGCTTTGCAATTCACTGTGTAAGGTCACAGCAAGGGAGAGAGAGACAATGTCTCGGGAACCACTTCCTCAGTTTCCTTGGGTCAGTGAAGACGGATATTTAGAGTAGCCTTTGCTGGGTGAATTTCTGAAGGGCATGTGGTCATTGGTAGCTTTCATTACTTGTTTTGCTGAGCACACCTTGGTCTCTTGCATAAATACCAGTAACAGAAGGCCTGGACTCCAGAGCTCCAGGCCAAGCATTCAATATCAGAGTGGCAAAGCCAGTTAGCTAGACTGAGCTAGGAGACAGGGTCAGAGTCAGCCATTACCCTCTTGCCCTAAGAGTGTATGATTAAAGCTGTGACACTTCAAAAGGACATTCTGTGGAGGAATGTAACCTCACTGATGGGGTCTCAAGATGAGACCATCTTGTTGACCTACCTCACCAAGTCCATGAAGGCATCTGTGGTCTGCACCTGCTCAATTCTGCCTTCTCGGTGAAGCTTGTCCTTAGATCCTTTTCCTGGGTGAATGATGATCACCATGAGGATGCCAATGAAGACTGCTATGATCGTGGTCACCATGTAGTAGATGACAGCCCGCATCCCCATCTTCCCCGAAGCTCTGCCATCCAGTGAGGCCATTCCTGGGGAGTCACACAGAGAGATAAGGTGAGAAGGTCTATTGTCTTAGAGGGAAAGAAGAAGCCCGGGGAAGATTCAAAGTGTGCAGGGCACGTGTGTGAGTTGGACAGGGAACTGGGGTCTCCAGGAAGCACAGAATACAAGGGACAGACTTTGGAGCTCCAAGGTGATGTTCATATAGGAGAATGTGACTTGTGGTTATGAAGAAGCATAGTACTGGTGGGTCTTAAGCTGCATTTGAGAATATAGCAATTTCCTCCTGAAGGTCTCAGAAGGGAAATAATCCCCTCCCAGTACATTGGGCCTTTAAGTCCCTCATGGTGGGATGTTTCAGCAGGTGCGATGCCTTGCAGTCCTTTCTGTTGTTGCAAAGCTTGGCTGGCTTGCATGTCTTCTGTGCGGACCTGGATGAAACAAGCTTTCCACCTGGTGATCAACTCCAGCTTTTTTGGACTGACATGAATTAACCTTCCCTAGCCTGGAGAAAACATGAAGCTGACCTGGGCAATAAACTTGTTGATGGTTGAGGTTACGTAGGATGAAATCCTTGTTAGTGCTCGTGTTGGACATTAGAAATACCACATTATGTCCTCCCTAGTCTTCTGAGAAAGCACAAGGCCTTCCTTCCCCACTACTGAGCTAGCACGGGTATGAGTGTGAACCATTTTCACTTCAGCTGTAGGTTCAGGCTTGTCACTACTAGCCAAACTAATCCAAGCACTTCCAGCTGGGGCACAAGGGGAGACTCCAACAACATCTAGCATCTGTCTTTGCTGATTATTGCTTGGCTGAAAGCAGCAGAAAGCACTTCTTACCTGTAATCAAGCTAGAGACAATGAGAGGAAGAACCAACATCTGGAGCATACGCATCAGCAGCTCGCCGGGGAAGGAGAAATACTTGATCTGGCGATAGGTCAGCTGGTAGGGCCGGAGGGAAAATGCCAAGATGATCCCTGTGGATTAGCAAGGGATGAGAATGGAAATGGGACAGCATGATCCAGTGGTCTGTCCCTCAGTCCTACAGTGTGGCGTTTCTCTTTCTCATCTCCTTTCAGCTCCTCCTCTCCCCAAAGGAGCAAATGCTCTTTCTTTGTCTAAAAGGCTATGATCCAGTTTTTACTGTATGCTCTCTCTCTCTCCCTTTGACATATTTCTATGCACAGGATCCTCGTGCTAAACCACAGCTCTCCTTGTTGCTCTGTCTGCTGCTCCTCTGGGTCTGTCCCCAGGAAGCTCATGAACACAAAAATGCTGTGACCAGAGATATGATCTCCCAGCCTAACCTAAGTGTGACTACACAGTTCAGAGACTTTGTCCACCCACCTTTTAAAGCTGAGTTCAGCCAGTGAGGTAGATACATATAGCCTGGACCAAAAGCGCGGGACAACCCACTCTCTGCTGGGCAGATTCAGTCTGCATTGTGTCACAGCCCTTTGCATCAGTTCCCCTTCTGGTACTGTCAGGCTAAAGCTGTGGGGTGAAGCTGAAGAGCCCTGGTGCCTGTAGCTGCACCTGCAAGAGGCCTCTGAACAAACCTGGATAATTTTTTATGATTGGTAGAACTGGGTCATCTTTGATTGCTGTTGTAGACTATTCCTAGGCTACAGACAGAAAGGATCAACAAGGATTCCTTCACACATGCGCTCTGCAAGGTCTGTTGTCCTTACACACAAAGGTACTTCAGATTTGGAGAGCATTTTGAGCTGCCAGCACATCAGCTTCACCTGCCCAGCCAAATCATTATGATAAAACAAAATCTTTGTGGAATAAACAAACTTTTCCCCGCATTTATAAATGGCGCCCGGTGTTGCCACCAGCTCCCTACCTAGTAAGACTGCAGCAATGGTGAAGAGGACGAAAGCGTTTCTCCTGAAGAAGCTCTTAGCGCTGTCAGCAGTGATGCTGTACATCCGCTTCTTGGCCCGCGCCGCCCGCTTCTGCACGGCCTGCCGGAAGCGCTGCACCCGGCTCTCGGTGTTGAGCCGCTTGGCTGCGTCCTCGTTGAGGAACAGGCTGTTGACATGGCTCTGCTCGCTCATGGTCAGCACCTCTGCTCGGTCCCCAAGGCACAGCTCTGCCTACACTGGGCAAGGAGGACACAGGAGGGGAAGCGTAAGCTGCAGCACCTGACACCTTGCCTTCATTTTTAGGTCATTTCACAGAATCAGAGAATGGCAGGGGTTGGAAGGGACCTCTGGGGATCATAGAATCATAGACTCATAGAATGCTTTGGGTTGGAAGGGACCTTTAGAGGTCATCTAGCCCAACCCCCCTGCAGTGAACAGGGATATCAAGATCCCCCAGTCCAACCCCCCACTGAAGCAGGCTCACCCAGAGCAGGCTGCACGGCACCGCGTCCAGGCGGGATTTGAATATCTCCAGAGAAGGAGATTCCACAGTCCCTCTGGGCAGCCTGAGCAGGTTTATTTAGCGTTGATTAATGAGCTCCTGTGCCCCTCTGCAAGGAACAGACCCTGAGGAAAGACATCTAAAGGGCTGCCAGGGTCTTGTCATGACTGCTCTGTTGTCTCTGGAGAAGCTCTGGCTTCTGTAGCACCCAGCCTGCACCGAGGAGCGGCTTGTGGTGGCCTGGGCAGCCACCCAGGCTTGTTCTTAGGAGTTTTATCAGTTTAGACAGGAATGAATTTTTATCACCTGGCACTAAAACCAGCTCCTGTACACAAGCTGTTCCAAACAAGACCAAGCAGCAAACAACATCTCTGACATAGCTCCTAGATGGGCAGGCCCCTACCAGAACAGGTTTTCTTCATGACAGCAAGTGGCACCGGCTGTTTCTGCAGAAAGGAACACTATGCCTTTGGCTTCTGTGGAGCCTGCGGATAATGCTTTACTGACTTCCCTTGGAAGCACAACTGGACTTTCAAGTAGTATCTCTCGTCAGACTCCACTGATGGGGTTAACCTGCTGTCCTGACTTCACAAATACTAAGGCCGAGATCAAACCTATTCCAAAGAGGTAAATAAAGGACCAGTTCTGCTCCATTACCTACTGGCTGCAAGGCCTGGAGCAGCCTACTGTTCTTTAACTGTTTATTTTTCACGATTATTCCTATATTCCTCCGTGCAAAAGAACAAAGGGGCTACACAGGCAGAAAAGTCCACTCTGGAGTGCTAGAAGGCACCAGCAATCCAACAGTTCTTGTCATTAGGAGGATTACTGCTTGACTATGCAGGTGCCATTTTCCTACTGTCACTGTGTCTTGCCGGATACAAGGTCTGGAAACGATTCTTGTTCCCAGAAGTTTGCAAAGAAGATACAAGACTAGATGAAACCAAAGAAGAACAAAGCCACCTTAGCACATCAGCAGATGCTGAAAGACCTTTCTTGGGTGTTGCAAGTCAAATAAGAGCTACTCCATTTGCAATCCTAAATTTAAGTCAAAGAAACCATCACTACTGGGATTACATTCTCTATAAAATACAAATCTAGTGTCTGCCATTTGGACCTGGATAAATGCCTATTGTGAACTGAAGACATCACCTGATAGAGGAATTGGTTCATGGTACACCATTGCAAGGTCATTTCCAACAGACAGATGGAGGAAAACCTCCATTCTGATGGAAGACTTGTTTGCACAGATGCCTTCATGAGGTCCAGAGCAGTGGAGAGACCCCTGAAGTGGCCCAGCCAAGTCACTCTAAGACGCCCCAAAGCTAAGCTGTGTGAAGGCCACTGGCAAGGGTTCTGGGCTTTTGCTGCAGGAACCTTGCAGTGCTGCTGTGGTCACCCAAGATTTGGGATTAGCAAACAGCATTCTGTGGATTTCGGTCTGCTGATTCCAGCTTGATCACTCATTCACTTTCATATTACACCACCCTGCATTTATCTGTCGATGGAGCCAATATACATCAAACTGGGCGAAAACTTTGCCTGTCTTCCTTCTTTTCACTGCCAGTCCTCCTACTTTTCACAGCTATGCATGAGAAAAAGAAACGGCAAAGTACATATTCTTTCAGTTCACAGCAGGTTAAGAAACTATGGATTCAGTCCCCTGTGCCCTAGAATAGACTAGTATTCTTTATTTAGTGGCCTCTCACATGTAGGGTTGGACAAAGTTCTTAGCTGTTAGGTTCCAATGAGCCAGGACTTGCACACATCTTGTATCCTCCTGTCTTGCCAGTTACTGGCATCACTGGCCCTACAAGGAAGAGGACACCTCTCACATCTCACCCTTTGCCACCACAGACTTCCTGAATAATTCTTTTTGTGATCCATGTTATCTTCTTTTGCCTGCAGGATTTCCAGATGTCTGTCCCTGAGCTTACTACTGAAAAGTAATTGTCTGTGCTGTCAGTGGCTGGAGGGATAGAATAGAGTAGAATAGAGTAGAATAGAATAGAATAGAATAGAATCAGATCTTTCAGTTGGAAGGGGCCTACAATGATCATCTAGCCCAGCTGCCTGACCCGTTCAAGTCTGACCAAGTTAAAGCATGTTATGAAGGGCATTGTCCAAATGCCTCTTAAACACTGACAGGCCTGGGGCATTGACCACCTCTCGAGGAAGTCTGGTCCAGTGTTTGAGCACCCTCTTGGTACAGAAATGCTTCCCAATGTCCAGTCCGAACCTCCCCTGGTGCAGCTTTGAAGTCCTATCGTGGCATCCCAGGGAGAAGGGACCAGCACCTCTCTCTCCACATCCCCTCCTCAGGAAGCTGCACAGAGCAATGCGGTCGCCCCTCAGCCTCCTCCTCTCCAAACGAGACCAACCCAGAGTGCTCAGCCATCCCTTGGAGGACGTGCCTTACAGCCCTGGTGCCAGCTTGGTTGCGCTCCTCTGGAGGCTTTCAAGGACCTTCACATCCTTCTCCAATGGTGAGTCCCAGCGCTGCATACAGTGCTCCAGGTGAGGCCGCACCAATTCTAAATACAGCGGGACAATCCCCTCTCTTGACCATCTCCTCATGCTGGGGTTGATGCCCCCCCCAACTGGGTTTGCCCTCTTGGCTTCCAGGGCACACTGCTGGCTCCTCTTGAGCCTGCTGCCCACCAGCCCCTCCAGAGCC